GCCCCGATAGTGAACCACCAGGACACCCTGAACTCAAAACACAGGAAGTAACAAAACAGATCAATCAGGCTCTAGAAAAATTCAAAACAATTTCCCAGATAACATTGAGATAGTGAGCAAAATGGAAGTTGTGATTCGAGACTCTAGAGCAAAAATTGACAAAAAAATAGATGAGCTCAGGACCATGATAGAAGCCGCTGAACTCAAAACACAGGAAGTAACAAAACAGATCAATCAGGCTCTAGAAAAATTCAAAACAATTTCCCAGATAACATTGAGATAGTGAGCAAAATGGAAGTTGTGATTCGAGACTCTAGAGCAAAAATTGACAAAAAAATAGATGAGCTCAGGACCATGATAGAAGCCGTGAAGGCCCAGCATAAGAAAGAAATGGAAAAAATTAACGCCCAACATAGGAAAGAAATGGAATCCATAAAACAGATTCAAACAGATATCCAGGAGATTAAACACTCTATTGAAAGTGTACACAACAGAATAAAAGAATGCGAAGATAGGATCTCAGATATAGAAGATAAGATTGCAGTCAGTGACCATGAAAAGAGAGGTCTCAAAAACAGTAAGAGATCATGAGAAATCGATCCAACAACTAGATGAGGCAAAGAAGAATAACATAAGACTGATAGGAATACATGATGTAGCAGGAGAAAATACAAATGACTTAAAAAAGCTGTTTGCAGAATTAATGACAGAAAACTTTCCAAACAGAGGGGAAGAATTTGACATTCAGATAAGTGAGGCATACAGGACCCCAACTAGCTACAATCAAAAAAATCTACACCTAGACATATAATAAGATCCCAGAAACCCAACAGAAGAAAAATACTACAAGTAGTAAGAGAAAAGAAACAAATCACATACAAAGGAAAGCCCATCAGAATCACAACAGACTTTTCAACACAAACCCTTGGGGCAAGGAGAGCCTGGAATGAGATATTTCAAGTACTAAAAGAAAACAACCTCCAACCTAGACTGATGTATCCAGCAAAACTCTCTTTCAAAATGGAGGGGGAAATAAGACACTTCCACGACAAAGAACACCTGAGAAACTACATGAATACCAAACCAGCACTACAAGCAATTCTGAACAAGATCCTACAAAAAGACAATGAAGGCAACAACACCATGAGGCCCAACAGAGCAAATCAAATAGGCAAGGCAAGATAAAAGGAGAAGGTGAAAAAATAAAAAGAGTCAACAAAAGGCCAATGACATGTCAATAATAAGTCAGTACATATCAGTTATAACCAGCAAAGTCAATGGCCTCAACTCACCAATCAAGAGAAATAGACTGGCAAAATGGAATAAGAAGCAAAATCCAATAATATGTTGTATACAAGAAACACACCTAGTGCAAAAAGAAGCCCATAGACTGAAAGTGAAAAGATAGAAAACAATTCTCCATGTGACAGGAGCCCAGAAAAAAACAGGGGTAGCAATCTTATTTGCAGACAAAGTA